GGATTTTTGTGGGTATTAACGAAAAAAAATGTTTAAATTATTTGGGTTATCCTGGGTTTAGGGGTGAAAATGTTTTCCCTATGTTGTATATGAAATGTGTAGGTGGGGGGGGGGAAGTTGACAAGATTCAGCCTGTGTGTGCGGTCATCACGTGAAGTCACTGACATAGGGGGAAGTCGACAAAATTCAGCTTGTATGTGTGAGGTCATCACGTGATGTCACTGACCGCCGAGTAAACACAGGTGGGATGACGTCACACTTTTTTAGACCTGTAGTAAGAGAGAGTACCATGCCCCCTAGGAGGAGTTCATTTGAATGCTTACCCCCAGAGGGGGGAATCCAAAAACTTGTTCCAAGGAGATGGAGTCTTTGTATTATCGAGAAAACCTTGATGCAAGTGGGAGTCCATTTTGAATGATTATACCCAGAGGGGGGAATCCAAAAAAACTTGATCCGAGGAGAGCACAATAAAATTAAAAAAAAATCGAAAAAATTCGGAAAAAAATTCGGGGCGCGGGAGCGATCCGGACGACGCTGCAGAAGGCGCAGCAGAAGGCGCAGGCGGGCGCGACGGGCAGGGCGCGAGGGGCGGGCTTGGGGTCGCGGGGCGCGGGTGGGGGGTCGTGGGGGTGCGGGGGCGCGGTGGGCGGCTGGGTCGGCGCGACGGGCGGGGATGCAGAGGGGCGGCGGGTGGGGGCGCGGGGGGGCGGGGGGAGGTGCACGGGGGGGGGCGCGGGGGGGTCGTTGGCGGGGGTCGTGGGCGGGGCCGTGGGCGGGGGTCGTGGGCGGGGGTCGTGGGCGGGGTCGTGGGCGGGGTTAAAGGCCATTAGCATATAGGTGTGAAAAAGGTCATTAGCACATAGGTGTGAAAAAGGTCATTAGCACATAGGTGTGAAAAAAGGGAGCCACTGAGAGGAAGAAGCCATACAGAAGAAACCAGTACTACTTATATATATATATATATATATATATATATAATATATATATAATATATATATATATATATATATATATATATATATATATATATATATATATCGTGACGAATACGTGAAATTAGTCAATTAACAAGACGTCATTTAAAATCAGTCCTTTCTAAAATTTCTTCTTATTCTTTTAAAGATATATATTTTATTTATTTTAATATAAAAATTAACAATTTTGTACAAAAAGAATCTTTGAAAAGTTACCTAACCTTATTATAACTAGCGGAATTTAATTTAACGTCAACAAAGTTTACAATAATTTAATAAACAATCACAATGAAATCTGTTTTCTTTTTCGTTAGGTTCGTAATGGTTCCTTGAGATATTATTGCATACACAAACTTTCGCTTTCTTTATTCGGCGAGATGATCGTTCCTGCTTAAGCTGAAATCGGAATTTTTACTTATTTGATACGACATATATATATATATATATATATATATTATATATATATATATATATATATATAATATATATATATATATATATATATATATCTATATATATATATATATATATATATAATATATATATATATATATATATATATATATGATTGGGAAACTAGGACATGTCACAAAAAAGTGCCATAAGATTTGCATTCAGGAAAACACACATGTGGTGCAAATCTGAAGCTGATCAGATGAGTCATTCTCCAGTTATTGCACTGATTCCAATGATTCAGAATTCTTGTTTTTTATATCTTTCATCACATTATCAAGGAACTATAAAAACGATACATCAAAGGAAGGCATATAAAGGGTCAAGACCACACCTCACCATCACATCCCACAACAAAGTTGAACCTAATGCGAGATGACACCCGACTCATAAGAAAGGGGGAACACTGAAGCATGCCCGCTGGCCCAACTAGGCAGGTCCTTCACGACATTCCACTAACAAAATATTTGCCCAACCCTAGTACTCTACCCAAGAATTAAGATTTATTATTTGGCCAATGTATTATTACATTCTTCCTATATTTGATTAGTTATAAATGAATCCAATTTATATAAACCAAAGGAAATATTCATATTATTGTCAAAACTGATTTTTATGAAACAAGATTCAATTATATTCCTGCCGGCCATGGACTTGTTTGATACAACTTTCTCAACTTTTTGAAAATCAATTGCGTGGTTAAAATCTCTCATACGAATAAATAGAGCATGAGAATCTTATCCAGTTCTAATGCTACATTTATGTTGTTTTAAACTTAGTTCGAGACTTTTACCAGTTTTACTGTAATAAACTTTATCGCAAATTTTACAAGGAATCTTATAGACTCATCCGTCAGTATTTTGGGGGGAATTCTTTATCAAACTCTTTTTTTACTGTATCAAGATTTTTAAATATAACTTTGATAATAAAAGTCTTAAGAAGAGAAGGCATATTAACCAAGTTTTCATGGTAAGGGAGAACCAACATATTTTTAGTTGAATAAGGTTGGTTGTCCCTTTTTGTAATGTAAAAAGTATTTCTAGCAATATTTAAAGATTTATCAATTACATTTCTTGGGTATTTCAAATCATTAACTATTTCATAAATTCTGGATATTTCTTCATCTATGAACTCTGGACTACAAATACGTAAAGCTCTCAAAAACATTGATGAGAAAACAGACAGTTTAACTTTATCTCGAAGTGAAGAATAATAGTGCACATAGGAACACTTATTTGTAGGTTTTCTGTAAATTTTAATTTTGAATTCATTATTACCTTAAAATTAAAACATCTTGAAAAGGCAATGATTTATTTTCTTCAACCTAAGTTATTTAATTTAACTAGGAAATGGTTTGCATCTACATTCTTAGGCATAAGACACAAAATATCATCAACATAGCTAAAAAATTTAGCTCTATTAGGGAGGATTGTGTTAAGCAATCATGTTCAAAAAATTCCATGTATAGGTTACTTTACTATACATGTATATATATATATATATATATATATATATATATATATATATATATATATATATATATATATATAATATATATATATATATATATATATATATATATATAAATATATATATAAGTAGTGATGATTTCTTCTGTATGGCTCATGCGGCAGAGTGGCTCCTCCTCTCAGTGGCTCATGCGGCAGAGTGGCTCCTCCTCTCAGTGGCTCATGCGGCAGAGTGGTTCCTCCTCTCACTGGCTCATGCAGCAGAGTGGCTCCTCCTCTCAGTGGCTCATGCGGCAGAGTGGCTCCTCCTCTCAGTGGCTCATGCGGCAGAGTGGCTCCTCCTCTCATAGGCTTCCTCTGAGTGGCTCCCTTTTCACACCTATATGCTAATGCCCTTTTCCACACCTATATGCTAATGCCCTTTTTCACACCTATATGCTAATGACCTTAACCCCACCCACGACCCCCACCCATGACCCCCCCGCCCCCCCACCACGACCCCCACCCACGACCCCCCACCCGCCCCCCCGCGCCCCCACGCCCCGCGCCCCGCGCCCCCACGACCCTCCCCCACGCTCCCCACGCCTCCCCCGCGCCCCCACCCCTGCCCCCCACGACCCCCCCGCGCTCCCCGCGCCTCCCCCGCCCCCCACCCCATATATATATATATATATATATATATATATATATATATATATATATATATATATATATATATATATATATATATTTATATATGTATATATTTATATATATAAACGTGTATATATATATATATATATATATATATATATATATATATATATATATATATATATATATATATATATATATATAAACGTATCAGCGGCTGTTTCCCACCGAGGCAGGTGAACCAAAAACAAAGAAAATCTCAAAAAGAATGAAAAAAACTTCATCATTATTCAACACTTTCATCATTACTCATTCATAATTACTGTCTTTACAGAGGCTCCCAGATACGACAGTTTAGATGTCCCTCCAAACTTCCAATATTCCAGACCCGTCATTTTAAGTACAAACATACTACAAAGAATCTAATTAGATCTGGAACCTCGTTTGTAATAACGTTCTTATGCTATAAGGGTAGTCCATTCCAGGCCACCAAATACAGCTACTTAACAATGAAAAATATAATGTAAGATTGTAAAAAGTACATAAATGTGCATTTAAACTCCAGAAATAAAGAATATCATTAACACTTGCACTAAACATAATATATTAGTACAAAAATATTAAAAAAAAAAATACTGTATTTTATCGTAGCTTAGTGTTGTTGAGCAGCAGGACGCGAGTCAGAGGATGAGAGAATTACCGAGAAGAGGTGATAGGAGAGGAGTCATTCTTCCTAGTCTTCTTTGGTGACTGTCTTGTAGGCAGTTCGTGTGTAGAATGTTTTTGAAGCTTTGTAAATAAGGAATCCATGGCTGACTGCTTCAGCCTGAATTTCTGAACCTTCTAAAATTGGGTCATCAATGTGTCATTAAAATTACTAAAGACCGTTTCCTTAGCACCAGAACACATCCTTGAGATCTTTGCCTGGATTGATGTGACTTTCCTCCTTAGTCTCGTCCTCCCCTGACTCTTCAGAAGCTAAGCTCCTCTGCAGTGTTTTTGTCTTTTTATTATGAAGCTCGAGTAGCTCCTCAGTGGACACCTCCTGCCAGTGCTCCTGCACCAACTCTTCAACATCGTCCACATTCATTTCCAGATCCATGGAATTGCCTACACATACAATTGCTTGTACAACAACCTCTCATTCTAACTCTTCTGAGCCTCTTGGAGGCTCACATTCCGGCCACAATGGGGAACAGACTGCGCAACAAAAAAATATGGCGACTGACTCTTTTTCTTAGATCCTCGTACACCGATATTTGTGTGCAGTCTACATGTAGTCCTTCCGAACAAATATTTTCAATTTTGTATGGAAAACAGTTCGTTATGTAAATATTTGTTATATAAACCGTTCTTTATAGCATAACTCACTGTATATATGAGGGTTTGGCACCAACAATAATGTAATAAAAAGAAGACATATTACACTAACATTCATTTTGTTTTAAATCAATATTTTGTTTTCGTGCAGGTTAATGCCAGAGAGTGTACGATGGCTGGTCGCTGAGGGTCGTTATGATGAAGCCAAGAACATTATACAGAGAGTTGCTCGAGTCAATAATGTTGAGCTACTAAAACATCTGATGGACGTTCGCAATGAGGAGGTAACTTTCCTTCGAGAGTTTTTGTTCGGCCACTGAAAATTAATTCGCACTGACTAGTTAATGGTCCAAGTCGGACCGAAATGTTGTCTTTCATTTAGATCTCCTAAGTGAGGGTTATATGTATATTGTTCAGTCATGATATTGTATTTACACAGTTTATGAATCAGCTCTTGAGAAATAATAAATTAATCGCTCATTTGTTATTGGTTCTCACAGTTTCGTCCAGATGATGGAACTCTCTCGGAATCCAATAATAAAATTGAACTTGTGAATGAAACTAGACAAGAAGAAAAGATCAAGAAGACTGTTATTGACCTCTTGAGAACTCCTGTTATGAGAATGAGATCATTCAACATGTTTTTCTGTTGGTAAGTATAAAAGTTATAGATGAAACCCAGGGTACTGGATTTTTATTTTATTTTTTTTAGATGATGGTTCCTGAGTATACAGTAAACTGAAAAAGATCATTTTACCTTTAATAAGTAAGTGTTCGTTGCTCAGAGATTTTTATATTTTTATATGAAAAGCTGTTAAAGTATATACTCTGAAAATTTCTTAGTTATTGCCATACCATAGCCTTTAAAAACTCATTTTATAAATGTAGATAAAGAATTCTGTTTTTACATGCAAAATCTAGTACACTGTTTTTAATTTATTACTGTCCTACGAAGTCATTGATAATGATATCATTTACCATACACTTTCCACTGTGTTTCTTCTTATTATTTTTTTTTTTTTTTGGGGGGGGGGGGTACAAACTGCCAGCATCCCACAATGGCACGGTGACCTCTCCAAAATATAGAAACATTCATCATAACTCATTTAAAAGTCGTCTTGCCAGAAGACCATAGACACTCTAATTCAAAAGAATCTCTGACATGTAATAACCATTTCCTATCTTTCAGAGTGAAAGCACTTCCAGCCTTCAGCAATGGTTCCTGTACTTTAATAATGCTAGTCAGATACTTTTATGCAAACAACTACAGTAATAATTAAGTGCCGTACTAAATATTGAACAGCAGCTCAGATGGAACTGAGTGATCTTGTGTCATAGTGAATATTTTATATTTTTCCATATTATTATTATAAATTATTATTATTATTATTATTATTATTATTATTATTATTATTATTATTATTATTATTATTGCTAGCACTGTTATTCTTATTCTTGTTATTATTATTATTATTATTATTATTATTAATATTATTATTATTATTATTATTATTATTTTCATAGAGAAGGTTCGCTAAACACATAGTCATAAAGCACCTATAAAGACCTTAGGTTCGATCCATGGAAGAGAGGGCTAGGTCCACTTCCTTGGATCAAGAGTCTCTCAACCACGTCAAGCAACCTCCAGTGAAGGGATATCTTTTGAAATTGTGGCTGTCAGAGTTGAATAACTGTTTTGCTGAATACTCTTGTGCTGAATGCTTTACAAGAGTTTATCCTTCATATCGTACATGTTTTGCTGTCCTTCCTTCATTCCTTACTGTAGTCAACAGTAGTGGGGAGAGAGCCTGTGTGGCGACCGTCACTATGGTTACCTTTTCTTGGAGGGTCACCTTAAGTTCTATGCCCTATATACCCTGTATATTAAGAAGACACCGCCTGCCTGTCCCAAGTACTGGACCACTATTATAATAATATCTTCATTTACTACAGTTACATGTACATAGTATACAGGCCTAGCTGACATCAATGACATACTACTATATAGAAAATCGCTTGTTATACTGAGCATTTTGGGCAAATGACTGGATGTGACCCACACCAGTCTACTAACTTCCAGGTACTCATTTTAAACTGATGGGTGAAAAAGGACAGGGACAGCAGGTGTCTTATGGAAGCACGCCCCAAATGTTTTCCAGCCGTACAGGAAGAGATTCGAACCCCGGACCTCAGTGTGTGAGCTGAGCGCACTTGCGATTGAGCTACGGGACACCTATGACAAGGTCTTGGATACTCTGAAAGACAAACAGAATATGGTAGTAGTATACACCAACTTTGCAAAAGTCTTTGACTTTTGCATAACCAGTTCAGTGACTACTTTGCTCTCCAAGAAGATAAAACTGAACAAGATAAACTATCGGACGCAGTAATAGTTAACAGTCCACTTTTTCCCAGTGATATGAACCAAACAAACAGTAAAGAAATTACTCTGCAGATCATAAAGGACCAAACCCGTTTTTATTGTACCAAGCTGAAAAAAAGAAGCCGGGTTTACTAGGATTCCATGTAAAAAGGATCTTAGATTCCACTCAAAAATGACAGGAAAAAAACAAAGCATCAAAATAAAAAAGGGGGATCATAAACGAGTGTCTTCCCAAAAAAAACGTCAAACCCCTGTATAACAGAAAATTTAAGCGAGGAATAATGACAAAATACACCAAGCTTCACACGGGAGGGGAAAATTCTTGTTAGGAAAAAAATGTGGGTCAACGTCCCAAAATCACGAACGAGAATGATCTATCACGATTTCTCGGGAAAACTAATCTTACGAAAATAACTAAAACAATGCCCAACTTAAAAGCCTACGTGTGTATGTATTTTTTTGTCCTTTTTGTTAAAAAATTTCATTGTACATCTCTAGTATTTAAAAATCAACTACCTCTTCGTGATTTTATATAAGCATAAGTCACCTTATGTAATTTTTTTTATTTACTTTGTTTGTTTAAACATTAGCGAAGAATTTCCCTTGCCCATTTACCCCTTATTTTTTTAAATACTATCAATTGAAATTACTTACAAAAATTTAAAATAATTATTTTTTTACTAAATTTTTCAATTTACTCTTAAAATTTTTGACATTTAAAACCATCTTATCTAATTACCTTTCCCTTTTTTAATACCACATTTACTATTTTAAAGTATCTTTAAATTACCTTGTACTGCCTAAACCCCTAGTATAACTACCAGTGCAATTTGAATAAAATAAAATATTTTTTTTCACTTTTTTTGTATCATTATTTAATAAAATTTTATTAAACACCATTTTTACTACCATCCTTTTTTCTTTGAACAAAACATTATTTAATTTTCCCCTAACATTTTGTTCCCAAAATTTTCAAGTTTGTATACAACCCAACCTTTATAACCTTTGTCCCGTGTACCGTCTACCACTTCTACAAAAACCGGACAACCCCATTTTTTTTTAAAAATTTTTTTGGACAAGGTTTTTATTTGTCAAAAACTAAGTTATACCTTGATCTTGTCAACAACCCATCCCAGCTCTAGTGCAATTGCAAGTACCATTTCAATTTGTATTTTTATTTAAAAAGTTTAAATTTAAAAATTCCCACTCTGATTTTTTCATATCTTAGGACTATAATTTTGGGTGTTGCAATTAGTGTATTTTTCAATAATATTTTTGTTCAAGGCCCTTAACTATCTTTTGTAACTAGTCCCAACTCCCTCATATATTTTTTTTTTACTTTTTTTTTTTTTTTTTATTCTTTTGCTACCAAACTTGTATATTTTATCTTGTCTTTAAAATAGTTTACTCTAATTTTGTAAAACCTTATAAACACCTTAGTGCAATTACAATTGAGAGCTTGTGCCTTTTTTATATTTTTAGATTAAACTCATTTACTATAGTCAATCCAAATTCATATATTGACCATATTGCAATTACTTTTGAGAGACGGTTTTGCTTTTTTTTAATTTGTATTTTTATTTTATTGTTTAAATCAGTTGTACTAAGCTATTCTAGCTCAAAAATAGATCCCCCAAAAATCATTACTTAGACCTTAGTGCAATTCAAGTGAGAGCTGTTTTTATTTTAAATTTGTATTTTTTATATTACTAGTTTATACCTAGTTGTACTTTTTTTCATTCCAGCACAACACAAGACAACACAATTCATTTTGTGTAGTAGTGATATACTCTATTGACTAAAATACTCTAGCATATACTTTTCCCAAGCTTCCCACCACACGATATCAGTACTAGAACCAACACTAACCCGGATATAAATAACCCTAATTTAAAAACCCAGAAGATGATTTAAAACGTACCCCGTCTAACCTCCTAACTGACACCCAAACAAAACCTATTGGAAAGTAAAAAGCCTTTATTCACAGCATCACAAGCCCGCACTATCCTAACAAAGCTAAAACCTATCATACTTAACTACAAAAAACTCCCTTTAATCACTAAAGACACCCTTTTTCCTGCATTATTCTTTTGAGCCTGGGTTTTGTAGGGCACAATGAAACTACCCTCTACCAGGATACACCCAATTCACAACTGCGACCAAACCAAGTTTGGGGGGGTATTGCAATTATTACTCTTACCCAATTATCTTTTATTACACCACTTGCTTTAGTTTGGGAAAATGGGGGAAAAAATTTTTGCTAATTTTTCTGTAAAAAACCTTAGAACATTAACAATCGGGGCCCTTTTCCGGTACCTCACACAAAAAATCCCAAAAATTTAGTAGAAAAAAAAAGTACTAATAACAAAAGACTTTGAAATAAGCACCACCTTTCTTAGCTGGGATTCAACATAAACCCGGCTTACTAGATGAACACCTGTAACGAAATTTTATCAAAAATATGAAACCACACTTCTCTACCAACAAAACTAAACCAAACCAGGCCCGAGACAAGCAACCCTAATAACCACATATGGGCCAATATACTAGCCCCCCTTAAAACAGGGGAAAACACAGAAGCAAAAGACCACTACCCTACCTTTCCCCCTACAAACATTAATAAACCACCACTTGAAACAAAAAAAGTCCATTAGACTCCATACAGCCTCAAAAAGGAAATTCACAAATGACCCAGATATTGTTGACTGGCCACCCAAAATTTTCCAAGGGCCCTGGGATTGATGATTGGACAGACATTTTTCTTAAACAAATTTCTTTGACTATACAACAAACATTTTTTAAAAAAACGAAACAGATCACAAACAACGGGTTGGTTTCCCCTGGCAACCAGCACCATTCTGAAATCCCTTGACAAGAAACACCAAAAAGAAAAGCAATATAGACAGGGCTTAAAACACAAAAATATTCTTAAACACTATTCATCAGTTCTCACCAAAGTAATAAAGAAAGCCAAACAACTATACTACTCCAGTAGATTCACAAACACTAGAGGAGATATAAAAAAGACCTGGAAAACACTCTCTCAGATTCTAGGGACCCACAAACTGAAAAAAAAACAAGAATATTGTCCTAACTAAACCTAATGAAACACCACTACATCCCACTGACACAGCTAACAAGATAAACGACTTCTTCTCAACCATAGGATCTAATCTCGCCAATAAAATCCCGCATACTAATGCCCATGCCGGGGACTACCTAGATGGGAATTTCCCTAATTCCTTCTATCTTGCACCAACTGAGCCCTC